CTGTATGAGCAGAAGGCAAAATGGAGAGCCAGTGTGAGGTAGTGGTTTGAGTGTTAGATGAGGACTTTGAGAGACCAGGTTTCAAATACCTGCCTGGTCAGGAAAACCCACTGGGTGACCTTGGAAAATGTCTCACACTCTCAGACTTAAAAGAAGACAATGAGAAATCTTCTCTGAATCCTTATTGCCAGGAAAAGCAACCTCATGATAAGTGCAAGTTAAGGTTGCCATAGGTTGGAGTCAGAGGCGGCCCTAGGTAATTTTCAACGGTAAGCAAACAGTATGTTGGCCCCCCCCCCCCAACCAATCATTGATATATATTTTCTCTTCGTCATGGGAGTTCTGTGTGCCATATTTGGTTCAATTCCATCATTGGTGGAGTTCAGAATGCCCTTTGATTTTAAGTGAACTATACATCCCAGTAACTACAACTCACATATGTCAAGGTCTATTTTCCCCCAACAGCGCCTCAAGAGCGCCCCTGGGCAAAATCAACTGTACTGCGAATGCTTACTTTGCGTAATGGGTTGAGCCGCCCCTGGTTGGAGTCAACTTGAAGGTGCACAATAACTTCAAAACCACAAGACACAAATGCAAAACTCTGAAAAATGCATACAATAATCACCAGTTTACAATCACAAATCACAAGTTTGGAAAATACAGTAGGTAAAAATACAGTAGGTAAAAACTACAACAAAGGGATAACCTTCTAATTATTGTTGACCTACAATTCATCCATCAATATTGACTATGCTGGATTTTGGAGCTCTATAGACCAGAAGCCTGTCTCCTTCTAAGGATGCCACTGCTCATACATTAAATGTGGTGGGCTCCAAAGCCCAGAACAGAAAAAAAGTAAATCCATCCCTTTTTCATAAGTAAACAAAGAAGATGGTTCTAAGAAAATTATATCTACTTAACCATATATCCACACGACTCTTTTTGAATGAAACAGCATGCTTTAAAGGTAATCCTAGAAAAATATCCATTACATTTTCTGGAGGAGTCACTGGACTCCTTGGTGTGGATGTGAAAATAGAGAGAACACAATTCTGATTTTGCAGCCTCTCTATTACACTTCTGTATTACACCATTACATTAACACAGTTTGTGCATTTAATTTTCTCTGTTAAAACTAAAATAAAGTTGATGATGCTTTTATTACACACATTTAATGTGAATGCTAAATTATACAATGCTACATTGAGTTAACATGTTTTACATTGATATATTTTTATTCACTTGCTAAAAGTTCTTCTTCCATGAATACTTGTGACGATGAAGCATTTATCCACTTCTCTTGCATGCCGAAGAGATGGTTATTCTAGTCAAGAAACCCAATTTCCATACATTACAATTATTTGGGATTGTTACTAATGTATGATAATGTAAGGAAAATGTAGGCTTTCTTCTTCAGTTTCTAGGGAGGAGTTATTTTATATCATTAAGTTACAGTACTTTCACTTTGCACCAAATTCTCTAGATCAGTAAATTTATTGCTAGCTGATTATTCAAACAGAAAAGAACAAGAAATATATATCCAACTTGCATTTCTGTTCCTCTGGAAGGAATATTTAACTCCAAAGTGGCCATCACAATAGCATTTAGATATTAAACGTTATCTGAAATAATATTAACAGGAAAAAATGCAACAGCAACTGTGAAGGCATCTGATCTCCTGAATCTAATGCAGGTTAACAAAAATATAATTACAAATATGGTCAAGTGAGAGGATTAAAACCAACATTTTCCTTTGTTTTCTTTTTTCTAATCTCTCTTCTACCAAAGACTCCAGCTATTCACATGATATTTGGAACAGTTTTAGTGCCCCCAATCTCAATAACTTTTCTTCTTTATCTGCTATCAGTTTGTTGCTCACCTTTCTGTTCAGCATTGACATGATACTCAATGTCAGTGATCATCATAATTTTTGTAATTAAAGAATGGGAGGAAGTATCTATTGATTATATTTGGTTTCTTGTTATGTGATTTAAGTTCATACTAAGAAACCCTATCATATGTAAGATTGGTTCAGAGAAGTTTGGTAATTTGACACCACTTTAACTGCCATGGTTCAATGCTATGAAATCATGAGAATTGTAGTTTTATGAGGTCTTTAGCCTCCTCTGCCAAGAAGTGCTGGTGGTTCACCAAACTGAAAATCCCAGTGATGCCAAACTACACTAATTCTACCATGCTAATGCAACCAAAGTATTCCACAATACCCAAACAGCCAAAGCCAGAAAACACATGTGCACATGCAATGGAATCAACTTTCAGCTGACTTTTTTTCTTTGCAAAATAAAATAAAATACAGTATCCAACACAAATTTTGTGGACAATGCTTTGTGCCAACTATGTTTGATGTTTTTTTTTTATAATGGCATGTGGCTGAAACCCAGTGATCTCAATGAAACCAAATTTCTTCCAGAATGATTCTTCATTCAGACTTTGATTTGATCATTCTTCAAACACAGGACAGTTCTTAGTGACCTCATCAGATGCGGCTGTTTTCAGCTGCATATACCAGTCCAACCCTAGTTGACCCATGAAGCTCGCCAGCTCCAATCTCACAACACATGTGTACTTCCAGCAGGGTTCCATGGGTCATCTAGAATAGAGCTGGTGCATGCACAGGAAGCAATGGAGGGAAGCATGCATGGGATCAGCTTCCGCCAAGCCAGGCAACGCAGAGCATAGGGTGACAGGTTACCCACACCCCTGAGGGCAGTTGCCGGATTTGCCCCAATGCGTGGCGATTTTAGCAGCCTGTGTGACGAGGTCATAATGCATGTGTAAATCCTGTTTTCAAGATCTAGGTGTGACAAATGTCATTTTGTTATTCATACATTCAGTGCAAAACAGCTAAAAAGGGAGCAGTGCACTTGCAAAGCTGCTGTGTTCAAAAGCCTTTACAAAGGTTGGCAATGCCAATGAGAATAGATCCATTTAATCCATGGAATGAATATATGTTTTGAGTTATTCAACTCCTACCGATTTGTTCATGTACTCTAGATGAGACTGGCAACAGGATTTAGGCCAGCATCCTTTCTCATTGTCTGTGCTGCTTGGACTGCTGTGTCCTTCTGCCTACACATCTGGAATGCTGCACAATTCTCACCTGTGATTAAGCCCCCAAAATGGAATGCGTGAATAATAATAATAATAATAATAATAATAATAATACTTTATTTGTACCCTGCTACCATCTCCCCAAGGGACTCATTGCGGCTTACATGAGGCAGAGGCCGAATGCAACAATACAAGCAATAACAACAACAGTACAAGCAATTAAAATAAAAACATAGACAATAAAATATACAACATTATCAATAAAACAGCACACAGTTAAAACAGTGGGAAGGCCAAATTTAAAGTTAAAATTGGAAGTAATGCTGGGACATGGACGAAAGGTGATAGTGGCGTTTGTGGAAGGGCATACGAGCAGACGTAACAATGTAAAGTGCTTTGGAGGACAAGGTGCTATGGGATCATTATTCTGGGAAGTCACACTGGAACAACCACGTCTTCAAGCTCCTCCTAAAGACTGCCAGAGTTTGGGCCTGTCTGATGTCTTTAGGGAGTGAGTTCCAGAAATGAGGGGCCACCACCGAAAAGGCCCTCTCTCTCATCCCCACCAATCGCGCCTGCGATGTTGGTGGGATCGAGAGCAGGGCCTCTCCGGATGATCAAAGGGATCATGTGGGTTCGTATACAGAGATGCGGTCAGGCAGGTAGGCGGGTCCCAAACTGTTCAGGGCTTTGTAGGTAAGAACCTGCACCGTGAATTGGGTCTGGTAAATGAATGGCAGCCAGTGGAGCTCCTTGAACAGGAGGCTTGACCGCTCCCTGTAAGGAGCCCCAGTTAACAACCTGGCTGCCGCCCGTTGGATCATCTGAAATTTCCGGGCCATTTTCAAGGAAGTAAGGAATTCTATTTGGAAGGTAAAGAATCCACAGTTAGTGACCATGGTTTTGAGCAGTTCAGCAAATTAGGAATCTTTTTCTATGTTACACTGGAAGCAAAAACACATTATGTTTGTAGAAGTGGCTATAAGTCTATTTGCAGTTCTGAATACATGCTTGCTTGTATTTTTATGTTGTTATGTATTTTTAAATTGCATTGGTTATATGACCCAAACCAAAGTGTTGTCATTGATCTATTCAGATGCAAATGGTTATAAGTATCTCAAACAATTCTTACGTAATTTGATTGAGAGCTTTCCTGCCATTTATATTGGTCATTCTCTCTTCCTGCCTATTCCCTCTCTCACCTCACCTTGTGCACCAGCAATGCATCTCTTTCTGGAAGGCAATTTTCCTTTGGCCTCATTTATACTGTGTTCACTAGCCTAGGAGAAAGCAAAACTGGAAAGTTAATACACTTTGGCCAAGAGAAGAGTGTGTCTTTATGTTATGTGGAATTGTGTACAATCTCAAACTGTCCCCACCCCCATGGTTGAACTGGCTTACTGAAAATGAAGCAAACTTCCCTCCTCAAAAAATGCTGAAGCAAATCACAGAAAAATTAAAGTGCTGCAGCAGCAGATATAGAAATGCAAAAAATATACATAACCTGGCTTCAAAAACCTAGAAAAATAATGACTGCATTTGTAAACACAGATTTTACAAACAACATGAATTGAAAATCTTGGAAAACAGACATTACCTGAGGCCAAATAGTTAAAATGTTGGCACCAGGTACACAGCAAAGTGTTTCTCAACCCAGGAGGACGGGGTCACCAATGAAAATTCCTTGTCACCATGCATCACCTACCAGGTCTCTGCAGGAGGTAGAATCTGAAAAACGGACTTACCAGTTAACTATAAGAAGTAAGGAATTCCATTTGGAAGGTAAAGAATCCACAGTTGGTGACTATGGTTTTGAACAATTCAGAAAATTAGGAATCTTTTTCTATGTCACAATGGAAGCAAAAACACATTATGTTTATTTCCTCCAATCTCAATCTCAATCTCTCTCTCTCTCTCTCTTTCTCCAGAGTATTTCTCCATGTGTCAACAACAGAGGGTAAAATGGAATTACATCACTGCAACATCAGCTACCTCCTATTGACAAAGAGATTTCTGAAAGCTGCTGTGATCAAGTTGTTCTCTTTGATGCATTTTATTGTACCTTCCTTATCTCCCCCCCTCCCTTAGTTTTTCATTATTTCTGGATATCTTCTTCAGTAAATGTTACCCCTACCATACCTAAGATGGTATCAGTTTAATCTTATTTTAATGGTCATGGCTATATCCTATGGAATTCTAGAATAGGTAATTTGATGAGGAAATTAGGACTTCGTCACACTAGAGTAGCTTCCACTTTAAATTGGGTTGCTGCCTCCTCCAAAATTCTGGGGCTTGTAGTTTAGGGAGGAGCCTTTAAACTGTTCAGCCTGAGGGGTCCTGGGCCTCACCAAACTACAAACCCCAGTATTCTGCAGGAGGCAGCAACTGGATTTAAAGTGGATAGATGCTCTGGTGTGATTAGATTCATCCACTAGAGAATTCTAATCTAAGCAAACGGCAAACATAAATATTTATTAATTACTTTTAAAAAAAATCCCAGGATTCTCTAAGATGGAGCCTTGGCTGTTCAAGTGAGATCAAATGGTTATAAGTATCTCAAACAATTCTTAAGTAATTTGATTGAGAGCTTTCCTGCCATTTATATTGGTCATTCTCTCTTCCTGCCTATTCCCTCTCTCATCTCACCTTGTGCACCAGCAATACATCCTTTTCTGGAAGGCAATTTTCCTTTGGCCTCATTTATACTGCCATATAATGAAGTTTCAAATTCATAGAATCATAGAATCACTGAGTTGGAAGAGACCTCGTGGGCCATCCAGTCCAACCCCCTACCAAGAAGCAGGACAGACTTATTTCTTGCATAGCAATGCCATAGAAGAGGGACTTAACATTTTGATCCATATCTTGGTGTCTACATGTGGTAGAGACTCATTTTTCAAAACAGAAAGATAGATAAATTTCAGAATACATGCTAGTTCAAAAATGCATCAGGCATCATGCATACAATCTGAGGAAATCACAGCCAAACATAGGTATTACCACCCTATCCAAATCTGAGTAGCCAGAAATACAGAAATTGGTGACATTTTGGTACCATCATCCAAGGCCTTATAATATGTGGTATACATACTGAAATCCATAATTATTCACATATATAGCTGAAATAGTGACATCTTCATTTCATACCCAAAACTATTACAAATTTCATGTATAAAATTATCACCAGGATACACACACACACACAGTGTATATGAAACACATTACAATATATATATAGCTACGGTGGCACAGTGGGTTAAACCGCTAAGCTGCCGAACTTGTTGACCAGAAGGTCTTCAGTTTGAATCTGCGGAAATGGTGAGCTCATGTTGTTAGCTCCAGCTTCTGCCAATCTAGCAGTTTGAAAACATGCAAATGTGAATAGAACAATAGATACCACTTCAGTAGGAAGGTAATGGCGCTCCATGCAGTTATGCCAGCCACATATCTTAGGAGTTGTCTATGGGCAACGCCAGCTCTTCAGCTTAAAAATGGAGATGAGCACCACCCCCCAGACTTGGACTCAACTACATTTAATATCAAGAAGAAACCATTGGCTTTTTTATGAAACACAAATGAATTGTGTGTTTAGACATGGGTGTCATCTCAAAGAAATCTCATTTTGTACATATATGGACAGGTATTTAAAAATCTACAAAAATCCAAAACATATTTGGTCTCAAGCATTTTGGATTATAGATACTTGACTTGTAACTTACCTCAAATATCTAGCATTATTAATTCATATCTAGGCTCTGAATCTTTTTCTGTGGGTTCTAGGTGTGACCCAAACACTGTGACTCCTGTTGAAAATCTTTTTCTCCTGTGATCATATCAGAAAAGCATTAGTTCTGTTGGTTTCATTTAATTTTTGGTCAATGAGTCTCTCTATTTATATCGTTCTCAGCCATTGAAGTAAATGGGCTTTATTTTAGTGGCTTAAGTGGGATTGGGATTGAATCCTGACATCAAAATCATATTCTGTACATGTTGAGTCAGAAGTGAGTGTTTGACAGCACTGAAATCCAGGCAAATGCATGCAAGATTAGCAGTCTAAGAATGCAGTCTCAAATTGCTGTTCAGAAGTAAACCCTATTAAATTGAATCACCTTACTCTCAGGTAAGGGGGTATAGGTTTACAGCTGAAGTGTTTTGCTTTTGGAATTAACCTGAACTTTTTGAAGAATGACATTGTGTCTTTGCTTTGAGAACAATTTGATGAATAATTTTCTAGCTTGCTATTATAGTCAGGAAAAGAAGGTAAGCCAATCTCCAGTTAAATGTGTGTGTCTGAGTGTAGTCATTAACAGTATTTGACACATTCAGATCTTCCCCATGCTTCCATATTATTTTCTGTTGCAGAGACTCCTCATATTTCAAGCTCCTGCTGTTTTCTCTGTTCTGTCAGCTAATTAAACACACAAACCTGTGAGAACGGCCCTTTAAATCCTCCTTGCTAACAAAGGAGATTTCTCAATAGGGCTGATGTCAAATGCATTTTGAGATGTCTGGTGAAACCTCTTCATGGAAGCAAAATGTTTAGCTACTCTTTTGCCTCTTGAGATTCATGATTGTCCAGAATTACAAGGAAGGAGCTGATAGAGGGAAATGCAAGCTTTGCAAGGCAGCATCACAGCTATTCCAAAATGGAGCTTCTAAAAACGTGTCATTTGCACACTGGCATCAATTTATGAATGTGGTTCTTTAATGGGGTAAGTAGACCACTGGGATCACAAGTCTGCTTGCTTGCAAGAATTGCTCAGTGAACACAGCCACATAGGAACAGAAACACCTTCCAGGTGTTGGAAACAGTCCTTTTGTAGACTACAACTCCCATAATTCCTCAACCAGATCATTGTATGCTACTTATAAAAGATATCAGCAAGAGTTGTGACATTGTAAGAAATCTGATGTGCTGTTTGTCCAAGAAACACACAGGGATAAACAACAGAAATGACCAAATTAAGAACATACTCTCGGCTCCGGAAAACTCCACCAGAGGGTTGCCACAAGTTGGAAATGCCTAGAAGGCACACAGCAACAAAATGAGAGGAAATGGGACAGTAGAAATCGCATTTGTTCACTTTTATTTTACCAAATGGCAGTCAGTATTTTAAAAAGCATATCTGTTGAAATGTAGTTGAATTTAATATAAATAATTGAAAATGAAGAAGCGTTTGAGAAATTGTGTGGAATAGATAGCCAGCATCACTCTGAAATAGGTAGTTAGAGACTGGATTTCCATTCCACTCTGAGAAACTAGAGAAATAATTTCCCTTTGGAAGAAAACTTTACTGCTTCAAGCACTCACACACCAACCCCTAGGTATATCAACTTGACAAACTGAGGGATCTTCAGCTGAAGAATCTTAATAAGAGTCAAAAAAAGAAGATGGACCAACTTTTACTGTCAAGGAGTCAAGGAAGTATTTTGCAACTGCTGAAGGGACAACTTGTCTCTTCTATCTCATTCAAGTAATTTGCAACTGGGGAAGTAGGTTTAGAAAAGTAAACAAGCAGAATAGCGTTAACTATATAATTTAATTGATAACCTCTTATGTAATAAAGCCTTGCAAGTCCTCTGCCCTCCGGATCTTCTCAAACTCCTATCACCTTGATCGTGGGTGAGTGGGAGTTGTAGCCCAACATCATCTTGAGGGTCACAGGTTCTCCACACTTATTTCCTTTTGATATTTTGTAGTAAATCTTCATCTTCTTCCTCAATCTGGATTTTTCTTTCGTTTGTGCTAATGATCTTGCCACAGCACACACTGTCAAAGTATATGCCATATCTTCTGTGCTGGTGCTCATAATAATATAGGATACAAACATTCACATTTAATGTGGGACTCACTGAAAATATTCAGCCATCCCCTTTGGGAATTGTTTGACATGACTAACAACAATAACAATAACAACAATAACAATATATTACAAAATATTACGACAAAGATAATTATTGGAACTGACTACCTAATTCTGCTAACTTTGGCCAAGAAGGATATATTTATGACTAGCACTGGTGCTGCAGACATTGTTGGATGGATACAACACCCCTTTTGTACCATAGCCACAGGGATAACTGTCATCTAGAAGACACTGCTGTTCATTTAATATGACTTTCATCATATTTTCCGCAATTTTTGTTTGGTCCACAGTGACTTCACATCTCAGGGTCAGTGCAATGTATCTTTGGTCAATGTCTTGATGGGGCCTTATTATTCATAATGTAACAATTCAGGACTCTCATTTATAATCAAGGTAATGACTTTTCATTTTCTCAGTTTTACAGGGAGTCCCTGTTCTCAAGAAAGGTAATCATTGTCTTTCCTTCTCTTCACATTTTCCTGTCATTACTTTGTTCCTGTCAGTGTCTTAATTTCTTGAGTCATTACAATTTTCCTTTCCTCCCCCTGTCCCAGTTTCTGTAGTTAAGAGCAATATAGCAAGTGTTCATAGGACTAAAAATCTTGTGCCACAGATTTTTAATATCTTATTTGGGATACTAGAATTCTATTTCACAAATGAAAGTCCATGTTAAGTCCTAAACATATACAGCAAAGAAAGCTTTGTTCAAAATATATTGGTGAAAGCAGCCCTTTTCTCTGAGTTTATGGATGGAAAATAATAGCCTTCAAGTTGCTATTATCAATCTGATTCATAATCCACATAAACCACTCTAGTGGATTGAATTTATATTTTTCCCATCAACACCATAGAACTGGATGCCTGCTTCTGAAGTGTATTTCCTTGGGACAAACTTTCAAGACTGTAGACCCTGAACCCTGAACAGCTCCTGGGTCCTTCTTTTCTAGGCCTTGGAGTATCCCACTATGGCCTTAGAGACCTCAATCCTCAATTTGTTAATAAAAACTTTGCCTTCAAACAGTGCCAGAAGCCCCTCACCTTTCCCACTACGTCCACAAGTACCACAGAATCCTACACTCTCCCAAATACTACTGTTTTCCTATGTCCCCAAGTCACTTTCAGTTGCCATTCTGAGAGTGTATGGGCTGGGTAGCCACTAACCTGCACAAAAGGCATGGAGCTAATCATATTTACAGACATGCACACCAGAATGTCACCCATCCATCGTGCCATTGGCTGATCATTCACATATTAGGCACACAGACCTCCAGGAACATATCACAGGGAAGTAACATCTGTACCTCAGTCTATAGCAGCAGCATGTGAAGATGTCTAAACCCAGGTCCTCTTAAAAAGCATGCCATATTGCACATTTCTCAAAACCAGACTCCAGTTTAAAAGATCCATCAGTTTCCTCCACTAGACTTGTATTTTCATTTCTGTAGTCACATTTAGCATGTAGCTCACAGGAAGCAAGTGTCGATTTCCGATTAATTCTGTCCCAGATTTTTCAAATGCAATCACTAATTTTTTGACTTACTTTTTCTCAATCAGTTACAGAAGCTTTGAACAATATAACATTTCAAGTACATTGTGATGCCTAATGAATTAAAGACCTCTTGATTAA